GTAGGTTCTGTACTCAAGATTATCAACTGGTACATTAATTTTTATTATAATGTAGTCAGAAAATACACACACACACATACACAGCATAATAATAAAGCAAATAATAATCATAATAAACGTATAATACCTTTAGGCCTGTCAAAATTGAAATTATCAAGTACTTTGGGTAGACGATTACGCTGCTAAACATTTGATAAAATTTAATCAAAAGCAAATGAAATTAAACTACATATATGTATCTACCTGGCGGTGATTTAATGAAAATATAAATACAATATGTTAATATACATTAATTGCGCTTAATGCGAAAACAGAAATAAAAACTACGATTATTATTATACTATACATCCCCACAGGTTTACCCAATAATAAGAATATATAATTTATGAACAACATGTAAAATATAACAGTACTGAAAATATGCAACAATTACTGCAATTAAATATTCTATAATAATTGTACTTAAAGGATTTTCGTAACTTTTGCAATTAATCAATATTTTACCGTGATTTCAAGTTAATTACTGGAAAATTGATTATATAATTTTTAGTTTATCTGATTGATGTACTTTTACGCAAAATCACCTTTCGCCGATCTACATTATTAAACGGATCATCACGAGACAGCCGTGTTGTACACCACTATTTCATAGCATAAACCCACGAATTTAGACGGGTAGTTAGCTGCATTCAACTTAGCTAATTGCTGTGTTTTCATTGAATACTTATTTATGCACGTCATTTCTTTGTCATTGTCTTTCATTGCTAGCTTACAAACCATCTAAGAGAAAACAAAGCAGTATTGTATGAAAATAAATAAAAGTAAAACAAAAACACTGGCATGCAAGGGAAGAAAATGTAGGAAAAGAACGAATATAAAGATAGGGAACGAAAGATTAGAAATAACTGATTTTAGGTATCTAAGAAGTCAGATAAGTCAGGACAGGAGTAGTACGCATATAAAGCGGAGGATAAAAGGAAGTCACTTCTATGCCCGCGAACGATTAATTTAAAAATAAAAAAAGATTGTTAAAGGTGTATGTTTGGAGCGCGGCGCTGTACG